AAGGTGAGGGTGTGGAAAAGATGCACCGTCCGAACAATGTTCAAGAGAAAGCTGGGGGGCGCCTGGGTGGCTCAGTTGGTTAAGCGACTGCCTTCGGCTCAGGTCATGATCCTGGAGTCCCTGGATCGAGTCCCGCGTCGGGCTCCCTGCTCGGCAGGGAGTCTGCTTCTCCCTCTGACCCTCCCCCCTCTCATGTGCTCTCTCTCTCAAGTAAATAAATAAAAAATCTTAAAAAAAAAAAAAAAAAAAGAGAAAGCTGGGGCAGCTGGGTTAACATCAAATAAAATAGATTCCAGAGCAGAGAATATTGCCGGGGGGGTGGGGGGGTGGAAGATGGTCATTTCATAATGATAAAGGGCCAATTTATCAAGAAGACACGATGACGTGTGTGTACCTAATAACACCTTTGAAACCATAATGAGATGTTTTTGGCGCCTCCCGGGGATGAGGGTGCTCTGTAGAACTCCATTATAAGTGTTACTCCTGTCTCTCTTCTCTTTCTGTTTTTGGTGTTGTCCACGGTGCCCCCTGTAAGTTAAACGTAGGGACACCATGCTTGCCTTTACTTCGCTCTCAAAAGAAACTGTTCTGGGAGGCAGTGAGCAGCACCTGACAGAACCTCTGCTCCTGGCCAAACTATTTTTGGCTTCTGTGGGCTTTAGTTTTTCCATCTGTACCGTGAAGATCGAATGTGATGGTATTCTTTAGAGAGGGACAGAGAGAGAGAGAGTCTTAAGCAGGGTCCACACCCAGCATATAGCAGACACGGGGCTCGATCACAACCCTGAGACCATGACCCAAGCCGAAATCAAGAGTCGATGCCTAACCAACTGAGCCACCCAGGCACCCCAACCCTGCCAAAAATGTTTTTAAGCAGTGAACTCTTTCTCCAGGCTGCAGCATGAGGAGGTCCCTAGAAGCTGGGTCCAGTCTCCAGGGCAGGCGTTTGGGCCAGCCACCCTGGGAGTGCCAGGAATCCAGGGGGATCTGCACGAGGGCTTGAGCTGGCTGCCTCGCGGGTTCTTCCCATGGCTTGTGTGATCTGGGAAAGAGCATTCTATGAAAGGCATTCTTTCCTCTCGTGTTTTCAACACAGCTGACAGCAATACACATACGCTGAATTTTGAAAGCTGCTCTCGGCTTCTATATAAATAGATGGATTATGAGGATGACAGGTGCTGACTTGTACACATCTTTAGTTCCAAACTAACCTGGTTGGCAAGAACTGAAGGCAAGTCACGGCTACTACCTAGTTCGATAAATCTAAGGGATTAGTGGATGGAGCCATTAAAGGCTTTCTCGGCAGGGGATGCACTGCACTCTGCTCTCTTGTGCACATGCTGGGCTCAGCCTTAGATGCCACGTCACAGACAGAAACTTCTTTAACACCCGGGGTCATTCCAAAGCTGTGGAATTGGGTCTGGCAAGCAGTATATGTGACAAATATCTCATGACATCCTTTTACTTCATGACTCCTGTCTTTTTTGTTTTGATACTTTCTTGCTCTGTGTATGCCTCTCTGGATCTCAGCTTTGAAACACGGATAAATGAGATCGGAGGGACAAACCTTCTTATGGAACGAGTGTGACAAACAGAAGGAAGCTACCAGAAGCCCGTATCCTTTCAAGAGCATCAATCGTCTAGAAAGCAAGCCTTTGGCTTTTCCACAGTAACCTTCGAACCAGTCTTCCAGGTGCTACGAGAAAGGAGGGGCAGAAGCAGGGGATGCAGAAAAGTCTGGAAGGATATGCACCAGGTTGCTGACATTAATGATTTCCACAAGATGGAAAGGAATGATAACAAATTATTAAATTTTCCTTTACACATTTTGCAATTATTTCATGTTACATTTAATACATTATCACCTTTGTAATAAAAGCATTAATAAGAAACACTGTTAAAGAAAAGTAACTACTTTGTTCATTAAAAACAACAACAACAACATTGATTAAGAGAGTGTTTGGATATAATGCACATGGTCTGTCATGTTAAAAAGAATTAGTAAGCTCACCAGAGACTAAATTCCAAAGCCTAATTATTAGTTTACAGCAGAAGTTTTATGAGTCAGAAGGCTTCCGGTAGCCTCTGGGGTTTTATAACAACCCCCTGGCCTGAGCCCCTGTTCCACTGGGCAGCCCAGGGCGCTGCCCCATAATTAAATGAATTTGCGTGGGTAATGATTTAGTGCAGCCACCGGCTGGAGCATGGACTCCCCCTCACCATGAGGTCCCCCAAAATCAAGCTCACTTACACCCTCTAGATGAGACAGCCTGCCTTTCCTCTGGTGGTAAATATCCCGTAAGTATCCCATAAATATCCCTCCTAGCAAATCCTGCTAGGAGGTAGGGGGGGCTCCCCGCCCCCGTGGACCATGCTCTAACCTTTTAAAGCTGCTAGAATCTTCAGAATTTTCAACCTTGGTACTACTGATATTTTGGGCTGAGTAATCTTTTTTTGTCCGGGGTGGGGTGGGGGGACGACCTGCGCATTGTAGGACGTTCAGCGGCATCCCCGGGCTCCACCCACCAGATGCCAGTAGCCTCCACCCCCCACAGCCGTGACAAAAATATCTCCAGACTGCCAAGCGTCCCCTGCGGGCCAAAAGTGCCCCAGGTGAGAGCCACTGTTAAGTTCAGAAGTTTTTCCACCACCCCACGAGGACCTGGGACTAGGACGATGAGCTGCTATCCATGCACCCCACACAAAAAAACAAAACCCAAGACATGGACGTTTAAGACCTTTCCCTAGTGAAAGCCAAGATTCGTCTACCATTTTACTGCAAACTTTCTCCCTTGTTGGTGGCCACCAGAAGACTATGGACAAGGGAAATTTAGGCAGGTCCCTGTGCAGGGGTGGGGGGTTGGGGAGAGAGGAGAAAAGGTGTTTAGCCAGGTGGTACTCTTTGAGGGACAACTTAACATTCATTCACATGGCATAAAACAAAGAGACTGGTAGGTGACAGTCCCACGGCTTTAAGTGCCATGTGTGAACTGATGACCCCTCATTTTATACCACTGGGGCTCAGCGGCTCCATGTGGGCATTTTATAGGCATCATCCCAGGACGTGGCAGTACCATGCACCAAACTGCTCAGGTCCAAACTTGCAAGTCCTTCTCGATTCTCCCATTCCGTTCCTCACCTTCCACAGCCATCTGTCAGGTCAGCTCTGCTTCCAGAACACCTCCCTATCTGCTGTCTTGTCTCTAGCTCGCCCTCTGCCCCCTTAGTGTGAGCCACTGTCATCTCCTACCAGACCTCTCTTGCTCCCTACATCAGGGTTTCCCCGGCCTCACGCTACTTACATTTTGTTTGGGGAAGACGGCTGTCTTGTGCATTGTAAGATGTCCAGCAGCATCCCTGGGCTCCACCCACTAGACACCAGTTGTCACCACCACCCCTCAAATTGCAACAAAAATGTCTCCAGATATTGCTGAATGTCCCCTGGGGGACAAAATCGTCCCTGGTCGAGAACCACTGTCCTACATCCTGCACACAGAAAAACCAGGATATTTCTAAAAATGAGTATTGCATCATGCCACTCCCCTGCTGAAAACCCTCCAATGTCTTCCCACCGACCTTATAAAACCCAGGCTCCTTCCTGTGGCTTCCAAGACCCTTTATAAACTTGCCTCCGCCTCCTTCTCCGACGTCCTCTCTGCTATGCCATGCTGTCCCTCACTGGCTCTGACCACACTGGTCTTCTTTCTGTTCCTTGAACATTCCAAGCTTGCTTCCATCCACCCTTTGCACTGCTGTCCCTTCTGCCTAGCATGCACTCTAGATCCCTGCATGGCTCACTGTTCACCCACACAAACCTCAGGTCAAACGTCTCCTGATCAGCAAGGCCTTCCCTGACCCTTCTACGTAAAGAGCCCCCCGCCTGGATTCTCTGTCACATGACCTGTGCTCAGCACAATAGAAAATGGTCTTTCCATCATTTGTCATCTGCCCCTTCACCAGACTGTGAGCTCCCGAGAGCCAGGAGGGACCCTGTCTGCCTGGTCCACAGCCCAAGTGCCTGGCACAGAGTCCTCCCCTCCCCATCCTGAGACCTGGGGTCAGGTTCCCTTCCAATATTACTCTTCTATATGTATGTCGTTGACCTTCCTGCATCACTTTTAACTACATCTGACCTATATTAAAACGTGTGTGGCTGGGGGTACCATGTACACGGCTTAGCATACACAAAATAGCTGCTTGGCGTGAAACACAAAGGCCAATTAGTTAATTAATGGTCTGCGTCTTGCCCCTCGGCGTTTTCGGTCGGCGTGTAATCCTTCCACTGGTCACGATTTCGGCTTGTTCCCTGTCCCCAAGGTTTGGAGCCGGGAAGGTTGTTGGGGGGCCAACAGCCTCCATATCCATCAATTCAACTGATGGAGTATCGCGGGCCTGAAAACCTCTAGTGCGGGCTTCAAGGAAAGGTAGTTCTCGGGGTCAACGGCAGGGCGGCCCCGGGTACAGCTCGGTGGACGGTGCTGGCCGAGTCCCGACCCCGCGGCCGGCGGGTCCCCGCACCTGCGCCAGGGCCAAGGTTGGGGGGGGGGCGTCTCCCGGCGGGTCGGCGCACCTGCACCCCGGCCGAGGTGGGGGGGCGGGCGTCTCCCGGCGGGTAGGCGCACCTGCGCCTGGGCCGCGGGGGTACCTCCGGGCAGGGGGCGGGTTCTCTGAGCGCTGCGGGGGGCTGCCCCCCACGGAGAGCACCCCCCAGCAGGGGGGCGTGCCCGCGCTGCAGGCACTCCCCGACGCGATCGGGACCCCCGAGGCTACGTCACAGGGTAAGGAGTGACACCACCCGGTTCCGTCGCCGCAGGCACCAGGGTGGAAGAGGCACGGTGGGCCTGCGGGGGCGGGAAGCCGGGTCAACACGCAACGTGACTGTCCCTCGGGCCCCGGGTGCGCCCAGCTCCGCCTCTCTCCCCTTCGGAGTCTGCGCGGGGCCGGTGGGCGGGGCCCGAGTGGGCCCGCCCCGCCCCGCATCCCACACTGCCCCGCGACAGGAAGAGGGGCCGCGGCTTCCGGAACTTCCGGGCGGTTGCTGGTTGGGCCGGTGGTGGCTTAGCGCCTTTGCTCGCGATGGCCGCGGCCGTCGCTATGGAGACAGGTAAGTAGCGCCCGGAGCCCCGCAAACACAGCTACCCCAGGCCGGACACCTCCTCCAGCTTCCCCGGGCCTCCTGCCCCGTAACTCCGGCGGGGCTCCTGTCCGCGGCTCCCTCCTCCTCACCTGCCGCGCAGACGCCGACCCCTCCCGGCCTCCCGAAGCCCCGGCTCCCCGGCCACCCGGCCCCGACCCCCTGACCTCCCGCACCCCAGGTCCCCGGCGCCCCGGCCGGGCCCAGCGGGAGGGCGCGATCCTGACCCGCCTCCTTTGGCTGGTTGTCTGCGTCCCGGAGGACTTGCGTAGGTTTGAGCTGTCCCCAGGCTGTGTGCCGTTCTGCCTGTGACCTTTCTTGCAGAGGCGCACGCCCGGTCGACGCTTGTGCACCTTGCCTTCTAGACGTGTTCCTGACGGACGTAGCGCTCGGTTGTTGCAGCGCGGGAAGGCACAGTTCTTACAGCCTTCCCGCATTGGTCACTCTGGAGACCTCGGGCAGTGGCTCCAGGGGTGAACGTCCCGCCCTGTGGGTGCACCTGTGTCCTCTGACGACTTCTCTTTAGAGAAGCTTCTAAGGCGGTCTCACGAATCAGGGCTCTGCTCCCCTCGCCGTGCAAGGAAGGGTTATCTCCTCCCACACCCAGCTTAGGAAAACCGTCCCATGCCTGAATTTATGCAGAAATACGCCTCGGCAATACTCGTCTCTTGACTGTCGTTTTCTTCTACAAGCCAGGGTTGTAGATAGTGACCTTTATTTTGGGTGATTTTTGCCATCTTCCCTCCCAGATGATGCCGGAAATCGACTTCGGTTTCAGTTGGAGCTGGAATTTGTGCAGTGCTTAGCCAACCCCAATTACCTTAACTGTAAGTTGTTGAGCACCTTACTGAATTGGGTAGCTTTTAGTGATCTCTGACGGAAGAATTGCAGTTCCTAATAATATCTATTTTTATATATACTCAGTGCAGTGAAATGACTGCCACACTTACATGGGAACGTGTGTGTGTTGAACAGACTGGGGCTTATGTTTTGAATTCAGTGTGTGTCGGTGGTGGGGAAGTTATCTGAGCAGATGCTTTATGTTAGGAGTCACAAATCAGTAGTCCGAGGATTGGTTTGCTCTACAGACTTTTTTTTTTTTTTATGCCTTTCAGTTCTTGCCCAAAGAGGTTACTTCAAAGACAAAGCTTTTGTTAATTATCTTAAGTACTTGCTTTACTGGAAAGAACCAGAATATGCCAAGTATCTAAAGTAAGTTTAATTTTTATAGTCCTAAATATATGTATAGTTTATTATATTCCAAAACATTGATATTTAACAGATTTTCTCGTTTTATGTTGGAAAAAATATGTTTTGAATCTCTCCACTTCTTTCAGTTGCCTCCACCTTAATACGAGACATTCTCATCTCCAGCTTGGATTATTGCAGTGTCCACTCCCTGGTTATCCCTGCTTCTGCTCTTCCCTTCCTCCTGGGTCCACCCTCCCCCAAGCCAAGCGAAGCAAAACAGTTTTCTACACAGAAGCCAACTTGATCTTTCAAAAGTGTAAATTACGACGTGACCCTTTCTTGCTTAGAACCTTTCAATGGCTTCCCATTGCGTGCAGAACAAATTCCTACCTCTTTTCTTGGACTAAAGCCCTATATGATCTGGCTCTGTTTTTTGACTTTATCTTAAAATGTGTGTGGCTGGGGCTACCATGTACAAGGCTTAGCATAAACAAAATAGCTGCTTGGTTTGAAACACAAAGGCCAATTAGTTAATTACTTTACTTCACTGGGTTTCTGACTCTAATGAACCCACAATCTGTAGATGAAGTGGTATTGCCTGAGGCTGAAAATTAAAGAACATGGGGTACTTACAAGGAAGATTTTCTGGAAGAAGTGACCTCACCTGACTCTTAATACAGGCATGCCTCAGATATTGTGGGTTTGCTTCCAGACCACTGCAATAAGGTGACTATTGCAATAAATTGAGCCAAATGAATTTTTTGGTTTTCCGGTACATTTAAAAGTTAACACTATACCGCAGGCTATTAAGTGTGCAATAGTATTAAGTCAAAAAAAGGGTACATACCTCAATTTAAAAATATTGTTAAAAAAACGCTAACCATAGTCTGAGCTTTTAGGGAGTCATGGTCACAGATCACCATAACAAATATTATAATAATAAAAAGTTTGCAATGTGAGAATTATCAAAATGTGACACAGACATGAAGTGAGCAGGTGTGGTTGGAAAAATGGTGCCTGCAGACTTGCTCAATGAAGGGCTGCCACAAACCTTTAATTTGTAAACGGAAAATCCAAAAAGCAAAACCAACCTGGTATGTCTGTAGCTGCGGGCCTCCTGTGGGCCAAGCACTGTACTTAACTTAAACCTTGAACTCTCAGCTCTTCTTTGCCTTAAGTCGGTAGTCAGAAAGCAATAGTGAAACTTCTTGTCTTTTTTTTTTTAAACCATGTTTGATAGGAAAATGATTCAAACTTGTCCTTTATTCAAGCCACTTTTTTGATCTGTGTCAACTGATTCACAAAGCCCACATCCTTCTGCCTGCAGGACCCTTTGCACCCGGACTCGTCCTTTATAAACAGTCACTCATTTAATAATCCAGAGAAAAGACTTTTTATTAGGTGTTGTGTGTATGTGGACTTGGTGATCCGTGTGGACACGGGGCCGCAGGCACGGTCAAACATCTCCCCCACAGCGTTGCTGGGTTGGCTGTCTACACTCTGGAGCGGACCAGGTGAGCACCTGTTGCTCTATTCAGGGACAGCCCGATTCCACCGTTTGCTGGATGCTGGAAAGTTTGTCCTTATTTTGGGATATAATCTATATCCCTGTGTAGCTTCAACCCATGTTTCCGGTTTTGTCCCTGAATTAATCTGGAACCAGTCTGTGCCCTCTGGAGGCAGCTGCCCTTCCGATGTTCACGTTCAGGAGAGGTTGCAGGTTAAGCCCTGTGGGCATTAGTCTGTACAGGGTTTGTTTGTGTAGTAGTCGCCACCATTGAAAGATTGGGAAGTCTCTTACAATGATCCGAACTCTGGAAAAGCCGAGAACTGCGGGTCCTCGTGCTTCCAAGTCAGTGCCTGCCTGGTCTGAGGGGCAGCCCCCGCGTGCAGACGTCTGCTCTAGCAGGAGCCAGCACCCGCACCTGTAGGGTGCTGCTTCTGTCTGCTCTTCTCAGCCCCCTTCAGCCACTTCTCGGGTGCCCTTCTGTGGATGTTTTGCAATTGTGCCTTCCACTGTTCAGCCAAGAACTAAACACAGGCCTTCAGATGTGGTCAGGGTGTGCTGGAGCAGATCGTTTCTTTCCTTCATGTGGGCATTACCCTTCAGTAAGTGTAACTTGAGTTTATGTTACTTTTTTGTTGCGGTAGGGAAGGGGCAAGGATGCACATTGCTGACCTACTGAGAATTTTATGTTCACTTGAACCCTTCAGTTCTTCATCAGTGCTGTTAGCCGACTTACTGAGAATTTTACGTTCACTTGAACCCTTCAGTTCTTCATCAGTGTAGTTAACGGAGTTCTCCATTTATGTCTGTCTTACTTTTTAAAAATTTAAATGCAGAACTTTCCTTCTGTATTTCTTTTATTTTCTCTGGTTGGTTAATGCTGTAATTGTAGCTGATCAAAATATTTATCAGTTCTTCTTATTCTGTCATTTAATGTACTCTGAGCATTATCTTTTCCAGGTTTGAGAAATGATCACTGCATGTCTAAATTCCGTTTATTGACTCAGTGCCACTTCAGACCATTCTCTTGGTTGTCACATTAGTTTACAGACGAGGAAGCTAAACCTGAGAGAGGCTGAGTACCTTGTACAAAGGCCCCCAGCTACTGAGTGGCAGAGCTGGTATTCAAACCCGGGTGTTTTTGTTTGTTTGTTTTAAGAGAGGAGCAGGGGAGAGATGGGCAGAGGGGGAGAGAGAATCTTAAGCAGACTCCATGCGCAGTGTGGAGGCCAACACGGGGCTCTGTGCCCCGACCCTGAGATCAGCACGTGAGCCAAAATCAAGAGTCGGATGCTTAACTGACTGAGCCACCCCGGTGCCCCTCAAACCCAGGTCTTTTAACTACCAGTGCCCTCATGGAAAGGGAAGAGCCACGTCAGGTGTGAGCAGGGCATTTCAGGCGTAGCTCCCAAAAGCTACAAGCAACAGTATCTTTGGAGTGTAGATAGCGCACCTTTATTATTTTGGAAGGACGGCATTGGTACCGGGCCCTGCTACGCAGTGTGGTCTTCAGGCCAGCATCTTGCTGTCACTGGGGAGCTCATTTAGAAATGCATCGCTCAGGCCCCACCCAGACCTACTAAGTCACACTCTGCATTTAAGAAGTGAGTCATGAGCCCATGCTGTTTTCATACTTTAGAGGCATTTGTATACTTCATAGTTTTGGCTCTCTGTGCTCTCTATAGAAGTTTTTTAATGAATTCACTAAGATTTCATGTCTTTTCTATTTGAAATAATGTCACCTAGAAAACAGCTGGAAAAGGGACGCCTGGGTGGCTCAGTCGGTTAAGCAGCTGGCTTAGGCTCAGGTCATGATCCCAGGGTCCTGGGATCGAGTCCCGCATCAGGCGCCCTGCTCGGTGGGGAGCCTGCTTCTCCCTCTGCCTGCCCCTCCCCCTGCTTGTGCTGTTTCTTTCTCTGACAATTTAAAAAAAAAAAACTGGAAAAATAAAGAGAATTTCTATATATTCTTCACCCAGGTATTGTAAATGTTCCCATCTTCCTGGGAACATTAACATTAATACCTAGTCTACAGACCTCATTCTGATTTTGTCCACTGGCTCATTAATGTCCTGTGTCTGGGACAGGATCCAGTCTAGGCCACTATGCTACGTTTTGTCTTTGTGTCTTCTTAGTCTTTAATCTGAGTTTCTTGATGCCCCCCGCCCCCGATGACTGTGAGCCAGAAGTGATATTGTAGGCTTCTTGGTATATCCCATCAGGAGTAGTAGTCAGTTTGACCTACTAGTGATAGTTTTGATCGCTTGGTTGAGGTGTGGCTGCCAGGTTTCTCCGTATCAAGGTACTAGTTTTTCTTTGTATTTAGTAAGTATCTTGTGAGGAAATACTTTGAGACTATGTAAATACTTTGTTTCTTATCATACTTTTACCCACTAATTTTAGCATCTATTGATAACCTGCCTGAAACAATTTTTACTGTGATTTTCTAGCATTCTTTCTACATTAGTTGTAATTTAGGTGTAAGGAAGAAACATTCTCTTATTCCCTATTTATTTATTCATTTACAAGAGTTACATGAGCATGGACTCTTGGATTCTTATTTTTGTTTTCTGGATTATAATTATGTGTTTTCTTGCTCTAATGATTCCAGGTTTGACCATTAGGAGCCCCTTCAGATTGGCTCCTGAGTACTTGGGACATACCCCATAGTTTTTTTGAGCACTTTACTTTCCAGCACTACCTAATGTTCCCAGCTCACCTTGTACTTTCCCTGCCTTAGCCCTGCAGTCAGCCGTTTCCCCCGAGGAGCTCTGGAAAGTGCTACTGAAAATCCACGATCTGGGCGCTGAGTGTGCTTGTTGTTGGTACCACAGTCATTTCTTCTAGGCCCTCTTTGCACACACAGCCAAGAAGGGGTGTGTGTGTTTGTGTGTGTATACACTGTGTCTACTTCTAGTCCTGTCTGTTTCTGTGTGTCTGTGTGAAAAGCAGCCAGGGGTTCATGCTGATGTTTTCAACTGTAGTTCCATAACATGGTCCATTCTAGCCTCTCCCCTTCCTTGTAACTCCTTTTCTGATAGTTGGAAACTTGGCTCTCTTTACAGTGTATTTACTGACACGGTTGCTCAATCTTAGAGTATATGTGAAGTAAGTCCTTGTGGAAGACTGGAACACAGTATCGTGCATAGTTCTTTGTAAAACGGACTCAGTTTTCAATAAAAGTTGTCTTTATCACTATTGATGGAAAACCAGTAGTTATCAGTTAAACAGATAATTTCTAAAGTTAAAAAGGGCTCATGTTCCTCACCTTGGACACCACTAGAATAGCATGGTTTGCCCCCAAAGTTTGACTCTACTTACCAGTTACTGTGTGGTCTTGGGCAGGTTATTTAATCTTTCTGAACTTAAGTTTTTTCACTGTTGAAAATGTTGCTTCCTGCTGACTTGGATGACCGGCTTCCCTGCAGAAGCAGGAAACACAGAACCCTGTACTACCAAAGTGAACCGAGTTAGTGTTCTAGAAACGGTAGGCTACCAGATGGTTTTTGAGTGAGTGACTGGATTGCAGCTTGGCGTTACCGACCTAAGTCAGGTTGATGACTCACTTGTCACCCTAAACCCAGGTACCCCCAGTGTCTGCACATGTTAGAGCTGCTGCAGTATGAGCACTTCCGCAAGGAGCTGGTGAACGCTCAGTGTGCCAAGTTCATTGACGAGCAGCAGATCCTTCACTGGCAGCACTATTCCCGGAAGCGGATGCGCCTCCAGCAAGCGCTGGCCGAGCAGCAGCAGCAGAACAACGCGGCGGGGAAGTGACGCGGCCCCTGGGGCTGCACGGGGCTCTTCAGACACGGACGTCCCGCGCGCACAGCGAGCACAGACTCTCTGGCTGCCTCTGGGTGGGTACCACCTGAGCCTTCCGGGCCCTGTTTCATCCAGCTAGCTTTGTCCTGTTCGTAGATGGCTTCTGTCAAACCAGAACTGTCATACTTAGGTTTCCCTGTGGATTTGTAAGTTATTATTAGGACTTCACCAACTGAATAAAAACAGAAACGTTAGGTAATGCTCTAAACCAATTTAAGGCTGCAGCGAGGGATGGGGTACGGGGAGGGCCACCAAATGTCCCAAACCCCAAGCCTAGCTCTGTTGCTCACGTACGGCGGGGCCTGGGCAAGTCTGTCTCCTCCGACCTTCCTGTCCCTCAGAGGAGCTACCCTACCCCTCCTACCTACAGAATGAGAGGAAGGGAGTCCGTGATTTCCTTAAATCAGAGAGCAGGACCTGCAGGAAGGACTGACCTGCAAAACCCCTTGCTGTGCAAGAGGGCTTCAAGGAACGGTCATCGGTAGGTCACTGACCTGGTGATGGCAGGGAGAAGATGGATGATTAACTTCTAACTGGACTCTTGACCTTGGGCTAGAATAAAGATGAGGAGCCTCAAGTATGTGCCATCATCCGGCACCGCTAACAAGTACGTGGCAGGTGGTACCGTACGAGCGTCGTCCCGTCCACGCTTCACGTGCAGAGCCAGCCTTGTCCGTAAAGGGGGGAGCTGAGGTGCAGACGTTAGCTAACTTGTCTACGGTTACACAGCTAGGAACTGGTGATCAGTGCCCCCGACTCACAGGCTGGGGCTCTTGCCACCACCAGGTTCTGTGGGCTCTGACCTCTCTGCCGCCGGCCTCATCCAGAGTAGTGGAGCACATTCGACGGTGGACTGCACTGGCCGTGCAGAGGCTGGACTGGATGTGCTCTGCTCTCCACTGGTTAGGGTACTTTCTACATTCTGAAGCCAAAGAAGACGCTTGAGGAAGAACAGTTTGTGGCATTTAAGGTCAAAGATCCTAACTCCTTTTGACATTTGGAACTCGCTCTCTGCACTGGTAGGGACTTTGGGGCACTTCTCTCCCCTCCAGTAATACATGCCCTTGTGCTATTACTGTTTCCCCTGAAGACCTGCCTTACCTCGATCTTAGATTCCCATATATCAAAAGCAAACTGAAGGGTTCGTGGGCATTTTAAAAGCACTTTCTATTCAGACGTAAGCCAGTTTTTTTTTTTAACCGTTATTTATTTACTGCTAACATGAATTCAAAAAAAGTATGCAATTGCCTTTATACTAGAGGAAATCAGGAAATCCAGACACAATTGCCATCATCAAATCTTAATCTTCAGAGAACAACATCTGCACGAGGCTGGCCTGAAGACACTCAGATTCCACCAGTTTTTGAGGCTGTAAGAGAAGAACGGTCCAATCTTAACCCACGGCTACAAAAATGGTATTAGGAGGCAAAGTGGTGTTCTGCCTTGAGTGACATACATCTTACAACGGGGAAATTATGCCATTCAAAAACTATCAACTAGTTGTAACAAGTCTTAGGAAATAGTTAAGCTATTTGCCTGAAGATGAATCACTAAAATACTTGGCTCCTCAGACTAAAACGAGAGACGGCAAGCCCAGTGCCATTCCCTTCCCCCCGGGGTCTTTAATTTAGAATCCCAGGGCCGTGGCTAACCTAGAGGAGGTACCCTTTCTTTTCGACCAGAATTCTGGATTAAGTGGAAAACAACTGGTCAGGAACGATGTGTAAACTAGCTTCCTTGAGCCGTGCTTACAGAATTTTGAAACAGAGTGGCTTTTAGAAAGCATGAGAAAGACCTAATATTTAGATATCTGCATTATTAATAGTTTATTGGGATCGGCCACAGGGATGGACGTCCAAGTTGTGTATTTTTAACGCACTCTGGACACCAACGTGATACTTGGCGTGAAATGTCGGGGCCTTTTCTGACGGGTGAGCTGCGGCCCCAGCACGATGAGAAGGAAGACACTTACCGTCCCGTACTTAAGTAGCGTAGGCACTGCTGTCACCTTCAGGTTTTTTCTGAAGTCGTTATTCGGATCCTTCCAACTGTTTTGAAAAGAAGAGGTGATCGTGGTTTCTCACAGATAATATCCGATATATTCCTACGTTTAGTCTCTTAGTAATCATTGTTTTTGTCGTAAACGTTTACTGAACCTTGAGGACTATGACTTTGTGACTCTGCAGTTTTCCTTTAGAGCCTGACTACGATATAAAGCACATGTAAAGACAGTTAAGTTCTGAACTAATACCAGGCCAACTTTATTGAATTACCCATACCACAAGCGGCGAAACACAGCAACTCCCAATGGCTTGCCTTACGCGGCTATACTGAGAAGGGACAACCTTTGTCCCGAGGCCCTTCCCGCCGAAGCTGCACGTCTAGCGCACGCCTGGGAAACAAGGAGTACACGGGCACTTACTAGGGTTTCTCTCCCACTTGGCAGTAGATGAACACACATCCTTCACTGATATGCTTCAGCCCCTCTCGTACGACCGGCTCGGCTTAAAACAAAAAGACAAACTAATGGCATACCCGCTGTGGAAGCTGGCCCGGAGAAGCCGCGTCTGGGTAAGTGCGCAGCCCCTCACCTGCAGGTAGCGGAGGGGCTTGATGCGGGCCATGCCGACCCCCGGCCCCGGGAAAACGCGTCTCGCGCCGCGGCAGCGAGCATGCTAGGGGCCTGGGCTGGTGGCCGGGCTCGAGCAGGAGCGCCCGGGGAGCCGGCTGGGAACGGGAGGCGAGCCGCCCCGCGCGCCGGACGCCCTCGCCCGCCCTCGTCCGCCCTCGTCCGCCCTCCCCTCCCCCCGCCCGGGCCGCGGCCTGGCCGGGCAGCCCGTCGTCCGCGCAGCAGCTCCCCGGCGCCGCCTCACCGAGCACGCAGTCGGGGCACCAGCTCTTGCCCCCGGCGTCCTTAGAGCCGGTGAAGTAGGCGAAGATGGTCTTGTCGTGGTGCTGCCCCACGGCCCGGCGGAAC